CTCCAGCATGAGACTGTATTAGACAAACAGCAGGCTGGAAGAACACAGCTGGCCAGGCAGCATCTGGAGGAAAGGAGAAGTCATCATTTCAGATATTACCCTTCTTCAGTCCTGAGGTCCTGAAACGTTGACTGCTCCTTTCCTTCAGATGCTGCCTGGCCTGCTGTGTTCTTCCAGCCAATAGTAGGAACTGCAGATGCTGGAGAATCTGAGAAAACAAGGTGTAGACCCTTCTTCAGAAGGGTCTAGGCCCTTGATTTCTGAAGAAGGGTCTAGGCCCGAAACATCAGCCTTCCTGCTCCTATGATGCTGCTTGACCTGCTGTGTTCATCCAGCTCTACACCTTGTTATCTCGCATTCTTCCAGCCTCCTGTTTGTCTACAATGGATTCCAGCATCTGCGTTTTTTTTTGTCTCTAACCATGAGACTGTATTAATGTGTATACGATTTCCCGTTTAAAAGCAAGTATAATAGCTCAAAGTCAGTCAAATTGTAAACTTAAGGGTTAAGTGTTATTTGCAGACAATTTGAGCTTTGTTCCTATGGTTGAAAAGGTTATTTGAATCTTATTGATTGTGCATATCACCCCTTACTTCCTGAGATCTATGTTCTTCTATCTGTACTGATTGAAGGAAATACAAGCTTCATGTTGTGAATTACAACATCCATTATTTAGGGAATGGAGGAGGGGAAAGATGTCAATTCTTTCACATATTCCTAGAATGGGGAAAATACCATCCTACATCGGCGTGCTTTGTTATTTGTCACAAGCATGTGGACCAGAATTGTCACCAGTTCTTGAAATGGTGTATTAAAGCGGAACATCAATAGATAGTTTCTATTTTTGAATCGCAGCTTATAAACCGTGCAGTTTGAGTTTTAATTTGTGACAGCTGATGACAGATCAACACAGTGGCTCTGTGGTTAGCACTGCTGTCTCACAGCACCAGGGACCTGGATTCAATTCAATTCCACCCTCAGGCCATTTTCTGGAGTTTGCACTGTGTGGGTTTCCTCCCACAGTCCAGAGATGTGCGGGTTAGGGTGGGTTGGCTGTGCTAAATTGCCCATAGTGTCCAGGGATGCAGAGGCTCGGTGGATTAACTGTGGGAATTGTAGGGTTGTGGGTGGGATGCTGCTTGGAGGGTTGGTATGCATTCGATGGGCCAAATGGCATACCTTCCCACTGTAGAAATTCTATGATATCTTCTGTGTAATTCTGTTCATCTTATAATCCCTGCTGTAGCTGAATATGTAATGTCTCTACAGAATGGTCCCACAGTAGTGGAAGTCAAATTAGAAAAGAGAGGAACAAGTAATTAAATAATTGCAATTTAAACCAGCCTGAAGTCAGGCACTGAGGCCAGAAGCATGGGGAACACCCCAGTGTGTTGTGGTACATGGTTTTTTATTTGCACTTTGTCTTCTCTCTCATGAGTAGCACATGATTCTGTGTTAGACAGCCAACGAGGTGGCTTACACTTTGTGAACTTGCTTGGAAACAGATGTTAGTTATGGGTGAGTGGACTGCATAAAGGACTGAGACTAGGGGGGAAAAGAAATGAAAAGTTAACAATGTAACACTGGCTTAGAAATTACTATTGCCCAGACAACTAAATGTGTAATACATGATATTTTCTCAGTACTTGAACTGATTAGTACTTTCAAAATTATTTGGAGCTGGTTAATATTTCTATTAAAATCCACAAATGCATTGTGTCCATCTGCTACTGTTAACCTTCTTGGTTAATTTTTGTGATCCAGTTATTCGAAAACAACCCCTCCTGCTTGTAGCTAATTCCACCAGGAGATCAGCTGCCGTGAAAAGTCATGTTTGTCTGTCTGGTGTCATCTCGCACATCTGTAGCTCATCTGCAACTGGTGCGTGGCATCCATCATCCAATTACACATGGGTCAGCGTCTGTTTTGCACCCCATCCTACTCTCAGGAAGAGATCCTTGTACCTTTAAAACTCTGATCAAATGGCTGAATTTATACTGACATTGTTTTTTTCCAAGGATAGTAATTTTTTTTCCCAACTTCTTGTTGCCCTTGCAACTTCAGGTAACTTTTTCGCTTGTCTTATGGTTTGCACGTGGAACTTTGAACACATGTCTTAGTCTCCACATTTCAGAGGCCTCTATGGGTGATTTGCTGGTCTAGTGCCCATCCGGAAGTAAGTAGAGCAATTACGTCATCCATTTAGCAGCCGACCGTTTCCAACAGTCTGTGTCATTCGAATGTGATTTGCACGTTGCCAGCCCTGATCGAAAACTCACTATTGAGGTAGATAGGCAGGTCACTCCTCCGCGGAGACAAGCCAAACATTATGGATCAAACAGGGGGAAAAAGAAAGCAGAATCCAGCAGGAGGGCTGGTTACTGGCATTGTGTCAGAAGAAATGTGTGGCAGGAGGAGCAGTCATATTTTTCTTTGCCTGGCAAGCATTAGTGCCAGGTTAAGTCTTGATTGGTTGCCATTGCTGCTGGCTGGGTCGCTCAATGCTCAGTGCAATTTGAGTGGAGTGTGCGGAGCTCCTGCTTTACATAGGGGAATGTGACATTTGGGTATGACTGTGATTGAGAGCTTTTAACAAAGCTCCCAGCTATTTGGATGGGGGCAGTAAGTTTTAGTCATTACATTCACATAAGGAAACCAGGCAGTAGATAGTTGGAATAACAAGGTGTAGAGATGGATGAACACAGCAGGCCAAGCAGCATCAGAGGAAAATACCTGGTTTGCTTCAGGACATGGTCGAGCAGTTTCAAGGCTGACGAGATTACGAGAGAGTTGCGGTGGGAGAGAGATACGGTGAGGTTTTTCCGGAGGGTAACTTCTTCAGGGTAGGCATCCTTAGAAGAGGCTTCGAAGTGAGGTTAAAATTGTTTCAGAGATAGTAGGAACTGCAGATGCTGGAGAATCTGAGATAACAAGGTGTAGAGCTGGATGAACACAGCAGGCCAAGCAGCATCAGAGGAGAGTTAGTTGGAAGTTGTCCATACTGTGCCCATGTGCTTTTATCTGACTTTAGCACTTTGTTGATCTGTTTCTTTTTTGGGAAATGGTTTTCATTTGAAATGCGATTGGCCAAAAAGAAAGCTGCAAAGAATAAACCTTTCAAACTGTATTCAATCAAATTCATAACAACTGTGGAGCATTGATGAAGCTTAACCATTCAGGGGGCATGTTGAAATTAACTTGAAAGAGAATGAAGATAAAAATATTGATGGAAAATTTACTTGAGTTGATATGAAATAGAAAATTGTTTGAATATTATTAAAATAATCATCGTGAAAACCAAATACAGAGCCCACTGGCTGGCTTTTTTAATCCTGCACATTAATTGTGAGTTTGAGAAGTAACAAGCCAGCAGCTAATGTCCTGTCCATTGACTGTGAATCTTCTCCAAGTTTAGCACAGTCAAGGAAGCATTCAGGTTTAGACTGCATGAGTATTTAAGCATCTCAAACTTCATTGTGTTTATGTTTACACATAATACAGATACAACAGTGACATGTCAGAGCACCACCAATCTCACTGTTAACGTGCACATTAGTTTGAAACCCTGCTAAGTTAGTCGCAGTATCCTTGGCAACCAGCTAAAGAGAGATTACTCTTGGGTCGGCAAAGGCCTTGCTCCAAACCAATCCAAAAAGTCTTGCTGTGGAGCCAGCAGTTGGTCATAAAAACTCTTTCCCCAGACTTTCTTTCACCCATTGACTCACGTTTGGGCCAAAAATCACAAAACAAATGACCTGAGTTGGTTCTTGTTTGACAAGGCCTGGCAGCTGTCAAAAAAAAAACAAATTAGTAAGACCCAAAAACCACTTTGGGATAATCACTAAGCCTCTCCTGATTGAGATGTGTTACTGAATATAAACCTGAAAGCAAGCCATAAGCAATTTCCGCCTCAGTAAATCTAATTTGTGGTGCAGGGTACAACACAGCCAACAGGTTACAATAACTAAAAGGCATGCATTATAAGACCTTGCATTAAACGACAGTGATAGAATGACAAGTGATTGACAACGTCAAGACTACTAGTGGTTTGCAGAAGGTCATCTGTTTGTTAAAACACCGATGTAAATGATAAAATAACATTTTCTCATCCAAAGTATGAAAAACAATCCCGAATAGTTCTCAGTGAATTATAATGCAAAATCATCTTTGATTGTGATTTTTAATAGTGTTATAGAGACACCTTTTTCAGGAAAGCCTCAACTTGTTCCTATTGGTTGGAGGCCATGGAAACCTACTCTGGTCTCCCAATTTTGGGTGTATGTCCCAAAATACCTTTGAAATCAGAAGGTATTTAAAACCTTAAGGCACATTAATGGAAGCACTGTTTCATTTCTCTATAAAGCTGTCATTCTATCATGTGAATGAAACTAGGGAAGTTAGATTTGACCTAACTGTGCTGTGATTCTCAGTAGCTTCAATGCAGAACAAATACAATACTCTATTACATTTCTATAAACTCAATACACAAAAAGGGGCTTTTAAGCAAATGATTTTCAAGACAATTTGTATAAAGAAAATGACCAGACCGTCTCTTGACTCACTATTTGCTCTTCAACATTAGTTAGAAATACAATTAACATCAGTACTTAGGTTGCTCAGATATGCTGTGTGAAAAGAGAAAGTATTTGAACACTTTTGCACTAATTATTTAAAAATAAGATTAAAGATATTCTCTCACAGAACCCAGGACTACGTGAGCATCTTAACGTGAGCTTCAAAATTATCTGAGACATTTTCAGAAGAGTTTTGACCCCATTTTAATTATGAACCAATAGAAGTTTCCAGTCCTCAATCAGCATAGCCTATTATTCGTTTATCCACATTGTTTATTGAACATTAGAAGCCATTGTTAATAAAGCAATTACTTGGTCTTGGGTAATAATTGAAAATAATCATCTTTGTCTGTATATATGCTTTTTTGCTTACACTCGCAATGAAAATTGTGCTAAATTCATAATTATAATTCATGTTTTGGTTAGGCTGAAGCCTCTGCACAAAACGAAGATGAAGACCAGCCACTTAGCTTGGCTTGGCCAGATACACCACGGAAACAATTTATCTATTTAATTATACTACCTATCATCTTTTTACTGTGGATCACCTTGCCCGATGTCAGAAAAAAAGTAAGCAACTGTACAGTTTTTATTTCTCTCATTATTCTTGCACACTTTCACTTTTTTGTTTTGTGTAATGTTTTTGATCTTTGCTAACATGGGCTGAGTCTCACAGTCTCCAATAAGCAGATGCCCATGAAATCCAATTTCCTCATGCAAATAGCAATGTGTCCATTGAAAGAGATTACTTCATGATTAGTGATTGCTTGAGCTTAGTGTTAGCTAAGAATGCCTGCATAAGTAGCAAGATAATACTGTTCATCAAAAACTCATCTGTTTCTCAAGCAAATATAGAGGCTGTTTGTAAATTATTAAAGACATGCACATCCACAAACACACACACGCACACTCTCATGTGTACATAGACACACCATCTCTCCTACTTCCTCTCGCTCCCTCCCTCCCCCTACCCCTCCTCCCTCCTTCTTTCTCTCTCCCTCCCTCCCTGTTTCACCCTCCCTCTCCCTCCCTCCCTCTCCCTCCCTCCCTCTTTCTCCCTCCCTCTTTCTCCCTCCCTCTTTCTGTCTCCCTCCCTCTCTCTCTCCCTGTCTCTCACACACACATGCACTCTCTCACAGACACACACACACACACACACACACACACATGCTCTCTCTCACACACACACACATGCTGTCTCTCACACACATGCTCTCTCTCACAGACACACACATGCTCTCTCTCTCTTTCTCTCACACACACACACACACACACATGCTCTCTCTCACACACACCCATGCTCTCTCTGACACACACCCATGCTCTGTCACAAACACACACATACACACATGCCCTCACACACACACACATGCTCTCTCTCACACACACACATGCTCTCTCTCACATATACAGACATATGCTCTCTCACACACACATGCTCTCACACACACACACACGCATGTTCTCTTTCACACACGCATGTTCTCTCTCACACTCACACACGCGCTCTCTCACTACACACACGCACACTGTCTCTCTCACACACGCACACACATGCTCTCTCTCACATACAATTGAAGATCAAAATATTAACCAATGCCAGGAGGTTGATTACATGTGGATGGTTATCCTAAGATACCCAGGTGAGAGTTGAAGATGTTTTAATTTCGAAACAACAACTCAAAGTTGATGCAAACTATATTTGTGTTGCAGAAATCACGAAATTATTTTATATTTACCTTCTTTGGATCAATCACCTGGATTGCGGGTTTTTCCTATCTAATGGTCTGGTGGGCTCATCAGGTAAGGACAATGATGCCTGTAATTGTTAGCCAAAGATTCCAAATTTGTTTGCAAGAATTAAACTTTCCCATATAAATAACCATTAAAAAGTCTATCATAACATAATTTCAAAAAGAAAAAGTCTTCAAAGTTGATGGATAAAACTTCTGTTATTTGCAAGTTTGACAACTTGCATAATAAAGCCCAAGACACTTCTTAGGAGGGTTGCAAACTTGACACTGAGACATATAAGAAGCTAACAGGGAAATTGGCCAAAGGCTTGGTCAGTGAGTTAGATTATGAAGAACTTCTTAAAGGGGAAAGTAAAGTTGATGAGGTTTTTGGAGGAGTTCCAGAGCTAAGGGTCTTCGCTATTGAAGGTACAGCTGTTCGAATTGGCGTGATTAAAATTGAGGGCACTCACAAGGTCAGAATTGAAGAATGGTTGTTTCATGGAGGAGATGGGAGTTGTCACTGTAACCCTTGATTCCTCTACTGATCAAGAATCTGTCTCAGCCTTAAATATACACAAGGACTCTGCCTCCACAACTCTCTATGGCAAGGAATTCCAAAGTCTCTCAACTCCGAGAGAAGGAATTCCTCTTCATCTCAGTTTTACATTGGCGCTTGTTTATTCTGAGACTATGCCCTCTGGTTCTAGACTCTCCCATGAGGCGAAAAGTCCTCTCAGCATTTACCCTGTCAAGCCTCTCAAGAGTCATATATGTTTCAATGAGATCACATCTCATTCTTCCAAACTCCAGTGAGCAAAGTCCCAACTGCTTAATCTTTGCTCATAGTAGAAACCCTTCCATATCGGGGATCATCCTATTGAACTTTCTCTAAACTGCCTCCAATGAAATAATATTTTTTCCTCAATGAGGGACCAAAACTGCTCACATTACTCCAGATGTGATCTCACCAGCACCTTTTACAGTTACAGTAAGACTTCCCTACTCTTATACTCCAACCCCCTTGAAATAAGGGCCAACATTCCATTAGCCTTCCTGATTACCTGCTGCACCTACACACTAGCTCTTTGTGTTTCATAAACAAGACCCCTAAGGCCCTGTCTGTTGCGGCTTTCCACCACTTAAATAAAACCGTTCTGTTTTTTCCCTTTCCAAAATTAACAACTTCACATTTTCCCAAAGTATATTCCATTGTCAGATTTTTGCCCATTTTGTTAGTTGGTTGAGGTTGACTTATGAAAAATGAATGTTTCTTCAGCCAAAAGTTGGGGTTGACTTCAGTACAAGTTAATATATGCGACATATTAAAAGTGCATTATTGCCCCATAGAATGAAATAATATCCCATATCTAAAGAATGAGCATCCAGATAAGATACTTCTGGTTCTCGTCGCCTGATCTTGTCCTTCAGCCACATGAATTAGCAACTCATGAATTAAATGCTCCACCAGCTGTTGCAGTTCCTACTGCTGATGGTTATAAACTTGCAAAATGTGTTGAGTATTACTTGAGGCAAGTTTCTTTGCATTGCCACTGAAAGAGAAAAGCAGGAGTTTTGGAAGGTCACTTAATGCTGAAGTCAAATTTAAATGCTTCCTTTTAAATAATATTCTCTCGTGGGAGCAAATTCAAAGGCACTTTCTTCCTCCTATCCAATCTCCAAAGAGTTTACCCATGAAAATGGCAAAATGAATTTTCATGAAGTGTGATGGAAACATTCAAACTTTTCACTTATCAGCAGCTGAAAAATAAATTATGCAATACATTTTTAAAATCACTGCACAACTTAAAGACATATCAAATTTATGGTCAAGCAATATGTATCAGTGTGATTTCTTCTAGAAGTCATAGATCACTATTTTTCTTTGCTTCCACACCCACAACTAATGGTCAATAATGCTTTTTCTGTGAAATTCAGTGAAATAAAAAGTCGCTCAATGGGCACTAGATTTCTTAAACGTGTAGTAACCATGAAAAGAAAACATAACCTTTTCAGTATACAACAACCTCTGCAAAATACTCCACAGAGATGATTTGCATTCAAAGATATTTATCTCAAATTTGATCTTTCCTCCCATTGTGAATTGATTACTTATTCCATCCTTATAGCTCAGACCAATACTGCGCCTAATAAATGATTCAAGCCTCTTAATATTTCTCCTCTGCTGAGTTAATCTCTCTGTACAGGAATTGTTTAAGCAGAATAGATTGAATGATGTTTCACAGCAATGACTGTGTGTGTGTGTGCGCGCGCTGATGAAGTTGCAAGCTTTTCTTCTTGCTGGTATCACTCTATGAAATATTTACCCTTTCAATTCTGTAGGTTGGGGAGACAATTGGGATCACTGAAGAGATTATGGGATTGACGATTTTAGCTGCAGGCACTTCTATTCCTGACCTCATCACGAGTGTGATCGTAGCACGGAAGGGACTTGGTGATATGGCAGTGTCCAGCTCAGTTGGAAGCAATATATTTGATATTACAGTTGGGTGAGTCATTGAAAACTTATTTCAAACGATTTTTAATTTATTTATACCACATCAATTTCTTTCATTAGCAAAATTTTGTACCAGAGTGACTACTGTTTTTTTTTCTCCAGGAGTAGCGTTGCACAAAATAACTTGAATATCCGAGAATATCCATATGGCTTTTGCCCTCCATTACTCTCTGTATGCTTTAGTTTCCTGTATTAGATCTTAAAAGTTGTGTGAATTGGATCTAATTTTCTCTAATTCATTCCATCTCTTCCCATTACAGTGTGGTAGCAGCCCAATTCATGGGCCTTTACCAATGTCACTGCTGACTTTTACACGCTCAGACATTGGGAGGCTACAGGGTATTGTAAGATCCATGCATTTTGTTATGTTTCCGTCTTTACTGCTGTACCTATTGGAGAGGTGAAAATGCTTCAATAATGCTTGACTGCAGTGACTCCATTTATCATTAACGCAATGCACAACAGAAAAGTGATGACAAGAAGTTAAGGACTGACGAGCATTCTGACATATTTTCGGAACTCCTGAAGTTTGAGGAGGTTTGAGTGATTTGAAAGATTGTTCTACAATCCGATGGCATTCAAAGTACCCAGTGAGTCAGCACAGCGCACAAGTGACACTGAGGGCATATTTGGGGCTATTGGGGAAATTCAACCTTCAAAAGGACAAACATAATTATGAACAAAGATTATACATTTGGCTGAAATTGGAAAGGCTTTCCTCACCAGAACTGGGCCAGATCCTTTTGAGATGGTGCCTACTCAATATTCCTCATGAGAGCCCGATAGCATGGACTGCTCAGAATTAGTGAGGTTCTGGATTTATTTTATAGAACGGCTAAGAATCCGATTCAAAGAGTGTTACATTTCATGAAACGGAGGAGTTGGCCACGTGAGACTGTTACAGATTGCATTCTCAAGACAAGGAAAACTCCCTCGTCACTGTGCAAAGGTTGAAAATAATCTTTTAGAACTTTTGTAGGAAACCTAAAGAACAATAACATTGAGGGCTGCAGTGAGGGCACAGCCACGGAAGTGGAAGAACGAGATGGTTGCAAATTACGAGGAAATTTCCAGAACCTGCTGCAAATACCTACCAGATTCGTCAAGATCTGAGCCACACCTACCAAGTTCATAATCTCAGTCAAAAATTTAGGTACTACCATTGCCATGGTAGCCACCAAACAGTCCCGGCACAGTGGCTCAGTGGTTAGCACTGCTGCTGCACAGCGCCAGGGACCCGGGTTCGATTCCACCCTCGGGTGACTGTCTGTGTGGAGTTTGCACATTCTCCCTGCGTCTGCATGGGTTTGTAGAAATACTGTAGGGCCTCCCCAGACTGATCTAAGCATTTGAACCTCATCTTGAACAGACCTATTGGCTGCTCCACAATAACCCCGGTGGAAGAATGGGCTACGCTGTATCTACACCTGGCCTCAGTGAATGGTTGTGTAATGGGGTCATCAGCCATGGTTACAGAATGTAGCTCTTGTCTCCCAGTAACCATCCCTGTAAGATATACAGCCTTTCAAACGAAGCAGGAACATGGGAGTTCCCAGGGAAACAGGCACCTTCCAGGATACCTGGCACAGTCTGGTATTAATGATTACAGATGTCTGATGTATTGATGGAATTGATTCTTTTTTCTGTTCATGAAGTTCCAATGCTTTATGATATGGTGTTCTCCATGGGAAATGTGACCATTATGTGGTGCCCTGGACCCGGTACATGCTATCTGTTGCCAAAGTTTACTACCCAGGCTGCAATACTGTCTTGGTTGTGGTAAAGAGAATAAAGTGTCTGATTTGGCCCAAACTGCACCACTAACAGCCCTTGTAGGTCAAGGATTCAGAGATCCCACACAGGGCCCCAGTGGAAACAGCCAGTTGCGTAAAAATTTTACACAGCTGTCACCTTGACAACCACCAGAATGGGATGTCCACTCAGCCCTTCAGGTCACAGGCTGTGCTCCAACAGTTGGTAACGTTCAGTGACAGTGTAGCTAGACATCCCCAGTCTGTCAGGACATTGCACCTTGTCCGTCTGGAAGAATCAGCGTTGAGGTTAGTAGGCTCCAAATGTTCTGTGCATCCCAAGGCGACCTTCAGCTCTGACCTCTTCCTGTAGGGGCTCCTTGGCAGATGTTAAAGGTTGCTGCTGGTCTTGGGCTTGCTGAACAATCTGTTCCTCCTCCATGTCTTCAATACACCACAGCAACCTGAAGACATAGGAATGGAAGTAGGACATTGAATCTCCTCCTGGCTGACCCGATCCTCGACTCTGCTTTCCTGCTTTATCCCGTAACAATAACCTCTGGATCCATTGGTCATACTTCCTATGAACCTGTGTGGGCAATATCAAAAACTGAACAGGTCCTTGGTCATATTACTAATCAGCCATCAACTTGCTTAACGGCTAGTTTAGCATATTCCTCAATATCATGATACAGGGGGGGGCTTCAACAAGGAGGGCCTGTACATGAACGTTTGACCCAGGAGTTTTATTCCAGTGAATGCAGCACAAGCCAAATATAAGAAGTACACTTTAAAACGATAAAAGCAAAATACTGCAGGTGCTGGAAACCTAAAACAAACACAGAGAATGCTGAAGAAACTCATCAGGTCTTGCAGCATCTGTGGAGAGAGAAACAGAGTTAACATTTCAAGTGACTCCTGTTCAGAACTCATTCAAGAGAGAGACTAATTCAATAAAGAGATGGTGTTTATGTACAAATCAATGAAGTGGACAGGACGGGTTGAAAATGTGATCAAAACGCATAAATAGAGCCATCGAGTACAAAAACGGGGAAGATATGATGACACGAGGAATGAGGCACTTCTGTGATGTGAATAGGCTGGAGAAAAGAGGCTTTACAGGGGACTGGATAGAAATGCTCCAAATCATAAGAGGTCTAGACATAACAGATAGGGAGCAATTATTCACATTGGCAAAAGGGTTGAGCACTAATGGGTAGAGATTTAAGGTGAGGATTGATGACAATGTGAGGAAGAACTTTATTCCCCAGTGAGTGTTTAGCATCTGGAATGCGTGGCCTGGGAGTGCGGTGGAGACACGTTCAGGGGTGCCTTTCAAAGAGGAATTGGATAAGTATCTAAAGAGAAGGGAGTTTGTAGGTCTATAATGGTGGGTGGGGGAGTGTGGAGGGGGAAACAAGGAACTAGCAAAGACAGGACAGGTCAAATAGCCAACTCTTGTACTGTGTAACCATCTGATGATTATTAGATGATCCACAAGAACCAAGCCTATGGTCTTCTCCTTCATGCCAATGCCAATGTGAATAATTGCTCCCTATCTGTTATGTCTAGACCTCTTATGATTTGGAGCATTTCTATCCAGTCCCCTGTAAAGCCTCTTTTCTCCAGCCAATTCACATCACAGAAGTGCCTCATTCCTCGTGTCAATTTCCCCGTTTTTGTACTCGATGGCTCTATTTATGCTTTTGATCACATTCACCAATTAGAACCTCATTTCCAATCTAACCTACTCACCTAAATTTTCTTCAACATACTGCCTGTCAATAATATGTCCATTGCTCCCATGACTTCCTATATGAAGGTCTGTTGGTGAAAACTCAGTAACCGCACAGGTATGAAGCAGCTTTAATTCAAACAATAAATGACATTCATCTTGACAAATGCATTATCTCTCCTTGCCTTCGCATTCAGCAGGTTAGACACAAGACTGCCTTTCGCATCCATCTTCCTGCTCACTTTCATGAGACCCTCATGACATGTGGATCCACTTTTTTCTATAAGAACATAGGCCGAAGGATCTCCAGCTCTGCGAAAACCATGTGCTGCAGATGCTGGAAGTCTCAAATTAAATATTCAGCAGGTCAGGCAACATTTGTGGAGGGGGAAGGCGATGCTTTATTTCAGGCTGATAAATTTCTGTCAATATGAATGATCATCAAGCTGAAACATTGATTTGATTTTATAATTGTTGTCACATGTACTTCAATACAGTGAAGAGTATTGGTTTGCGTGCTATCCAGGTAAATCATACTTTACATAGTTACATCCGAGTAATAGAGCAGAATACAAAATATAGTGTTACTGTTACAGAGAAAGATTATCTTTAATATGTTTGAGGTCCATTCAAAAGTCTGGTAACAGCAGAGAAGAAGCTGTTCTTGAATTTGTTCATACGTGTCTTCAAACTTTTGTATCTTCTGCCCAACGTAAGAGGGTGGAAGAGGGTATAACCGGGGTGGGAGGGTTCTTTGATTACATTGCCCGCTTTCCCGAGGCAGTGGGAAGTGTAGACGGAGTCAATGGAAGGAAGGCTGGATTTTGTGATGGTCTGAGCTACATTCACAACTCTGTATAATTAATTGCGGTTTTGGGCAGAGCAGCTGCTATACCAAGCTGCGATGCATCTGGACAGGATGCTTTCTATGGTGGATCAATAAAAATTGCTAAGAGTCCTTGCGGACATGCTGAATTTACTTATCCTTGTGAGGATGTAGAGGCGTTGGTGCTTTTTGTTCATAGCATCAACGTGGATGAACCAGGACAGATTGTTGATGATATTTACTCCTAGGAGCCTGAAGTTCTTACCCACCTCCATCTCAGCACCATTGACACAGACAGGGACGTGTCCTCCACTCCACTTCCTGAAGTCAATGACCAGATCCATCATTTTGCTGACATTGAGGGAGGGTTTGTTACCTTTACACCATGCCACTAAGCTCTCTATCTCTTCCCTGTCCTCTGTCTTGTTGTCGTTTAAGATCCGACCCACTACGGTGGCTTCATCGACAAACCTGGAGTTAGAGCAGAATTTGGCCACATGGTTTCGAGTGTATAAGGAGTACATTAAGGTGCTAACCACGTAGCCTTGCAGGGCACCCATGTTGAAGATTACTGGTTGTGGTCTGTGGATCAGGAAGTCGAGGATCCAGTTGTAGAACCCTAGATCTCAGAGTTTGGAGATGAGTTTGGTTGGAATTATGGAATATAAGACGGAGCTTAAGTCAATAAGTGGGAGTCTGATCTGGGTTTTCTTGTCATCCATACATTCCAGGGATGAGTGTCGGGCCAGGGAGATGGAATCTACTGTGGACCTGTTGTGACGGTAGGCGAATTGTAGTGGATCAAGGCAATCTGGGAGGCTGGAGTCAATAAGGGCCATGACTAATCTCTCAAAGCACTTGATAATGTTGGATGTCAGAACCACTGGGCAATAGTCATTAAGGCACATTGTCTGATTTTTCTTCGGCACCGGGGTGATGGTGGTCTTATTGAAGCAGGTGGGAACCTTAGATTGGAGTAAAGAGAGGTTAAAGGTGATTTTTTTTGGCAGAAATTGAGCACAGATGGGGGCTCCCATCAGTCCTGACATGGGATAGGTGGAAGGGCCTGGGTGGGCAATGAGGCGGAGTGGGGTTTAACCATTGCTATCAGGAACCTTTCCATGAACAGAAGATGACACCCTGTTTGGAAGTTACCAGGGTTTATTTAGCTGTGACTTCATACAGTGGTAGGCATCACTGTTGCTGCTAAAATGTCAGCAGCAGTGCCAAGAGACCCCTGAACTGTTGGTTCAGTTGGCATCTGGATTTGGTAAGTGTGCCCACCACCTTTCCTGAAACTGGTAAAATGGATGATGGGTATGCTATTCTGCATCTTCCCTGGCCTCTTCTACCTCCCTCAGTGACCCCACCACCAACATCAACCCACCACCCAATCCATCTTTACAGCACTGGTAAAACATTGCTCGCTAACTCAGTTTGCCTTTGTTACTTAAACCTTTTTACACTGCACACAATAACTAAATGTTAGCATAAACTTAATTCCATCTATCATTCTTTTTTAGAAGAAATTGGTTAACTTATGAATAGTGTTAGCCAGCTGATTGGGAGCATTCTGGCTTTAGAAGGATTTGAGCAACAATCCAGGCTGACACTTTAGTGAATGGCTGATGGAGTGCAGCATTCTTGGAGCTGTGGTCATTCAAGATCAGATTCCAAACTGAAGACTTGTTTGCATCTTTGACTAAATCTAGAAAAAAGCCCCATGACACTTTCTCAAAGCCGTGCAGATAATTTTCCTTGCCTAATACTCACCAGACTAACTCCTGCTGCTCTTTCAAGGCAACGGTCAATACTGGTCTTTTCCTTCCTGGTTAAGATAAACTCTCACCTATAAAAAAAAGTAACACAATCTCAGCGTAAATAGTGATGGATAAATAACTCTGGATTATCAAAGAAAGGTAAGAGTTTGACCTGAGCCTTCAGAAAAAGATTAAAATGTATTTTTCTCCTCTATATCTTTGCAGACTGCCTCTGCCATGGCTCCTGCACGCCTTTATTAACAACTTCACCCCAATCGAAGTCAGCAGCAATGGTCTGTTCTGTTCAATTGTTCTCCTCTTCATCATGCTTCTTTTTGTCATCCTGTCGATTGGGGCCTGCAAGTGGAAAATGAACAAAATTCTTGGAACTATCATGTTTATACTCTACATTGCTTTTCTGATTACCAGTGTTCTGTTGGAGCAGAAGGTCATAGAGTGTCCAGTGACAGTCGGATCTTCGTGACTGTACTCCTTTCTTTTCAGTTACCGCTGGGAAAATTTACTCATCCTGCCTGCTGCAGCTTTGTTTTTGTTTTAAGATTGGCTCAGCTGGCCATGCAATTTAATGGAGAATGAGAAGGTAATGCTAAACAATAACAACCGTATTTTTTGCTTGATTAATTTTTTGTTCTCATTTCAAGCAAATGAATAAAGTTGATGTTTGCATCTGTGGCATTCCTGAATGGAGAGATTGACTCTGGGATTTTTCCTCTGGTTTAATCTGATGTCTATGGGAAGACCACTGCCTAAATTAGTTATACCCCCCCGTCAAGAAGATTCTTTCATTTTTCTTTCGTTACTAGGTGATATTTCAGTGGCAAAGGAATTTTCCTTGCTAGTTTTTTTGTCAGATATTGAAATAATATTGCATTATATTTCAGAATGGCTGGTGTGAAATAATTTACTTTTGAAATGACAAAGGTGCATAAAACTGGTTTGGAGGACATTTTTTTGAGAGGGTTGGCAGGGGGAGGTTGGGGACATAATACTTTGGGTTCTCAGACAGTTAGCCAAACCTACCTTTTCTTTGGGATCTGAGAATCAGATTAGTACTGGAGGTGTAATGTTTAATACAGATTTACTTCTATACGTCTTAGCATTATTTATTACACATTTATTAAACTATACACAATTTTATGTTTTACAACCTTTTTTTGGCTTAGCACAACAATTTTAATCACCAGTATATCTTATGAATAAACCAATGAAGCTGCTATAGATTGTGGTACTTGAAAGCAAATTCAATCAGGTGTGAATGGCAATATTAAGGTCATAGAGCTATTAATCAATTATTAAGGTCGTAGCTATTTATCTATTATACACATCATCGCTTGCTGCCTAATGCAGAATAAAATGTAGTCACTGACATTCTGCCATATTATGTAATTAACACCTTAGGGCCTGTAGATCATCTCTGCACTTTACTTGGACAATTATAGGCTGTCATTGTTGTATGTTTTCTTTTTAGAATATGACCTTTTTTAAGACCGTAATACATTTTCAAAGTGAAACCTGGCATATAATAGGTTCCAATAACTTTTCATTGAGTTGAGATTTAAGGTACTGTTAAATTTAATCTTAAATGTAACTTTGTTTGGAAAAACTGACTCTGCATTCCTTTGTTTGATTAGATTGTGTTTGCACCCTTAAATTGCAAGTACAGCAGTGAATCAAGTTGTTAATCTAATAGAAACTCATTCACTGTATAAATACTTTTGCACAGGTCTTTACATCACTTTTCCTCTTGGTATCAGCTTCGTGCAGTATTTACTGAGAAACAAATAGAGATAGAGCATTGTGAGGCAACTCACATGGCACACTCATAACATCACACCTAATGTAGATCTTTACTCTTCATTGTGCTACTGCGACTGGTTCTATGTAATATGGTCAATATTTCAGATTCAGAAAATCTGGAATACTATGAAGATATGTTTTTTTTAAATACTAATATATATAAAAGCTAATATTTAACTAGGGCTGCTTAATGTTAATGCTCAGCAGATATTCTGTTTGGTTAGGATTCAAATGTTCATTTACAGCTGTCAATAAAAATCAATAATACAGCAATAACCTCATTTTGATGGGCATTAAAGTCTGCACTCGGATTAATAATAATCATAATGCTCCTAATGAAATGATATGATAGTGTTACTACTATTGTCAATCTCGGGATGGTATTTGTTATGTAAGGGGATATGTTGTTCTTGGAGTTGCATGATAACAGCATTCTGGGCAGTAATGGAAAGGAAGGTTTGTATGTGGATAAGAAATTTCATCAAGTCAGTGATTGTTTTGACAAAACGAATGTAAGCGCTAAAAAAGACTCTGAAAATGAGAAGCTCAAGTTATGCACTCATCTTTTCATTGATTTTTGGCACTAGATTCTTGGGATGTATGCTCCATTAACTGAATATCATGGGTCTAAGAATCTGAACAATTTCTGAAGCCCACTTTTAAACTTGGGATGCTGGTACTGATCCCAGCTATATAAAGGAATGCAGGCTGCCAACAAGACCAAAACGATTGTGATCACATACTTTGAAATTAATACACAAATTGTTTTATCATACCTTTAACCAACAACAACATTTGTCTTAACCTCTCTGTAACCTGAGATATAAAATTGAATTAAAGTCTAACTAAAGCTCAAGGGTCGAAACAAGAAGTGTAATTTAATTACTTATTGGGTAAATCGCAGTGACCCCTTTCTTCAATCAATTCACCCCAATGTGTGAAACAGGATTGAATTATCAATTTTATTATTTGATTGACAAATAGACTCTGGCAAAAAGTGAACTTCTATGTTCTTTCTGGAGGGTTTCCTTGATTTGAATTTGATCTTTTTCATTCTGCTTCTTAGCCTGATTACAGTTTCTTTTTTTTAAATTGTCTATTGTTTATGCCCCTCACTTATTTAAGTTCTACTTTGTTTTCTTATGGTTTACCAACTCTGTTTCTGATTTTAATATTTTTGAACATAGTGTTTAATTCTTTTTTATTCCAAAGTATTCCGTTGTGTCCCTTTTTCGGTTGGTCTCATTTTTCGTTGTTTACCGATCTTCCAACTTAATCCTGCCACTCCGTTTGCAAAATTAGTACTTCAATTGTATGCATGTAGTAGCTTCAGACATAGAGGTTTATTTTCAATGCATAATCAAGATACTACAAAAAACAGTACCAAATGCCAAAATAGAAGTGTGCAGTTAATTTGTATGATCTCACTCCTAGCTATGGTCTTTGAAATTAGCCCTTCTTATGCCAATTTTACATCTGTAACATGGGTGAAACTAGATCCAGTTTTTACCTTACTAAATCATGTGTTTTGGGGCCATAGATAAATTAACATCTTCAGATAATATTAAAAAATTGCATAAACTTTCTTTCAAGTCATGACATCCTTTGAACCCTTCCTTGTGGCTTTAAAACACTCATAGATACCTTTTCTTTATAAATTATGTAGGATTTTAAATTATTCACTAAACTAAAGGTCAAATGCATAAAAACACGAAAGGTCAAACACATAAAGATGCTCAAAGAAACTGATGAGTAGTTTTTTTTCTATGAGCAAGAATCCTTTTCTATTCCCCATTTCTTTGTACATATATTTAACTGCAGTCATGAGAGTAGACAAATTTGTTGATTCCACTGTCCTCTCTATACAGCAGAGAGCAAGTCAATGGATGACTGAAGAGAACGGTTCTACTTCGTTTAATTGCTCCATACACTTGGCCAATGCCTAATGATTTTTGCAAGTAATAAACCCAAGGTTGGGAGCTCATTGATATAAGGGTCACAGGAGCAATCCTGTCACCCTGTGCAATGATACCGCAGTCCAGACTGTTCAATTGCATTATCTTTCTATGAAAATTAGACATTTCAGTGCAATTGTAGGAACTGAGATTAACTACAGAAAACCATGTAACAGAAATAATTAGATGTTTTTGAGATGTTTTTGTAAATAGGGCTAATATCTTAATCATTCCATGGTATGGAGCATTATTCATTTTGCTACTGGTCAGCATTGCATTATAAAATAGCAAGTACTTCTGGAGGGTTTAATGATTACAGATAATTTTCATTTATTCTACAATCTCAGGTCATGGTCAACTTTGAGCCCTAAAGTCTCAAGTACTTGCAGTTATGGTTATGTACCTCAGTGGAATTTATCATTGTTTCATTCAGACTCGTGCAAATTTATTTCTTTATGTCAAACCAAATGCCTTTTATGCTCAGGATTAGCTATGAGCTGTAACCTGTCATTAGTACTCGTACAATTGAGCCACACTTTAATTAACTATTCTTACAGAGCTGCACTATTAACCAGGAGGAGTTAACTCAAACAAACCAAAAATAGATTTATTAAATAAAATTATCATAAGGTGATATTATTGCAAGTAATTGAGTCCACCATGTCAAATAGGCATTTGGTTTTGCTTAAGCAAATTATGATTCTTTCTAAAGATTGCGTTGTTTAGGTTGACAATAATATTGAGTTAAAATTCCTTATTGACAGCAGTAAATTAACACATAAATATTGTAGTAATAGCATAACAATGTTGGATCTGTAAAGATTATAATAGTCTTAAGTTATCCCTAAATTATGGATAAAGTGCAGTAAATACTTAAATGATAAGCTATTTTTTAATGTTCCCAGATAGATTCCACTCTTTCATTCCCCTGACCACCCACTTCTATTCCTGGATAGATTGCATGAAAATGAACTGTGGCAACTTATGATTAAAACATTTCTAACGGTCTGACCCTCCTATTTTTTTTAAAAAGTAGCATGTATTCCAGCCATTAAGCTATGTTTTTGGTTTACTGTACCTGGATTTATTATCTTTGTGCCAGACTACCAGTGTGTACAGTATCAATTATAAAGCACCAGGTCCAAACTCAGTGGGTGGAATAACCTCCAGTCCCTCCATGCTTTAGAAAACACCCATTCGACTTTGCATCATGCTTGGCTGCAAACTGTATGCAGATAAGCAATAGATTCTCAGATCGATCACTATCAATAGAATTTTTAATCTGTTTTGAAATATGATACTGGATAGAGATTTGAAAATGCTGTGATCTTGTGTCAGGTGGAAGACCTTACAAATGTGTTTCAAAGCTAACTATTACATATAGAGACACATAATAATGTTTTATTAAGCACTATAGAGCACTTAAAAGATAAAAGACAAATGGTGAAATATGCATGTATTTTCATGATGCATACATCAGTTTGGGGAATTGACAATTATTGCATTTCATTAGGAAAGCTCATCAGTGCTGTGAATCCGTGAAAAATGTTTAAAATGTGCTTCTCCTATATCTGAAGCAAAGCAATATTTGGTTGCAATATCTTGATGGTAACCATCTGTTCTCAAATCGTCAATGCATCAGTGAGTCTGTCAATATGCCTGGAAATTATAGCTAACCTTTTGGTTTTAGATTCTATTGTCCTATGCTGGTCATATAGAAGGAAGATTTCTCCTTCACCAGTTAAAAAGAGCCTGAAAATGCTATAAAGTTGAAATAAAAATGAGAACTCGTGAAAATACAGATAGTCAGTCATCTGAAAGGACAGGCTAATGTCACAGGCTTTCTGTTAAAATTGATAAGTGTCTCTGCTCAGCACATTATCCTGTCTTTCCTCTTTTTAAAAGGCTGACTGACATATTGTGTTATTTGCTTCTTTTGTCATTTAAGAATTTTTTCTACCTTAGTTGGAAGTTTTACAGATAACATGGAGATCCTAGCAAAGCCAAGAACAACCTAATGTAAAAACTGTATTCTAGTACATGTTGGCTACTTGGAAAAAAATCATACAGCAGAAAAAGTTGCATCTGCTGTCACACAAATCACATTGTTGGCAAAACTTTTTTGAATATCTATATATATATATATATATATATATATTTGATATATTTTAGCAATACGTGTAACTTCCTCTGTTAACTCAACTGACAAATTGTCTTGCAATGCAAGCAGTTATCCCTTTCAGTCCTGTCTCTACAGACTGTAATGTCCCTGACATTAATTATGAAAGTTGTGCACATTGGTGTTTGCAGTAACCAATGCAACTTTAATAAACCAATATTGATTTAGAAAAAAAAAACAGTAATCTCTAACATGCATAATTTCAAGTTATTGGCAATTCATAGTCTTGAAAACAAATGTACTGTACTGTGTATTGGTGTAGTTCTTGTCATTTCCCAATGTCATTAACAGTAGTGCACGACTGTATATAGAAAGAAAAATATTTATTTGTACATAATCTATTTAAAATATATACCAATGGCTTTCTGGGAAAATGCTGTTCTTGCACTATTGTTATTGTTTTCGCTGTATCTGTGTAAGGTTTCTCCACTATGATAATATTGTACACCTGAAGGCAATCTATTTCAATTGTGTCTCTGTAAGAAATATAATGTATCTAAGTGTGAAAATAAAAATTATAAATAAAACAATGTTATTGGCCATTTTTGTTGCTTGTATGTCATTGACCATGACTATTTTGGAGGATCTTCACTGAACTAAGAAGTTCACATGATCCGGGGGGAGTTCAAAACTAGGGGGCATATTTTTAAGGTGAGAAGAGAAAGATTTAAAAGGGATGTGAGGAGCAACTTTTTCACACAGAGGGTGGTTCATATGTGGAATAAATTGCCAGAGAAAGTGATAGATGCAGGTATAGTAACAACATTTAAAAGACCTTTGGATGAGTACATGAATAGGAAAGGTTTAGAGGGATATGGGACAAATGTAGGCAAGTGGGACTAGGTTAATTTGGGAAGCTTGGTTGGCATGGACTAGTTGGACTGAAGGGTCAGTTTCTTTTCTCTATGACTCTATGTTGTACATTTGTTGTGACAAGGTCTGCTCCTCTGATGCTGCTTGGCCTGCTGTGTTCATCTAGCTCTACACCTTGTTATCTCAAAAGAAACAATGATTTGTTTTTCTTCATATTCCTCATTTAAACTGGAGCAGTAACTTCTGTCCTAAGTGGCAAAGAATTAGTGTTAGTCTGTGTAACTTCCTCTGTTAATTCACCTGACAAATTGTCAATGCATTTTGCCAAACAGCAGCTATCCTTTTCAATCCTGCCTCTGCAGACAGTAACTTCCCTGACATTAATAATGAAAGTTGTACACATTGGTGCTTGCAGTTATTTACAACCTTGGTGTGAATCTGTTCATTTTTTAAAGGGTGATTAGGTTGTAGATCTAATGCTCTTTGTATTTTAAAAAGAGCATTGAGGAAATGCCAAGTGATCAGTTCAGCTGTCAACATATGGAACAGCTAAAACAGTTAAACAAAAGCTTTTGAAAGACCATTTCTCTCAAGTTAATTCAACTTACCCCAGTGCATGTGTTGTAAAAGTTAGAATGTGGGTACCGCAAGTAGTAGGGATAGATTTTAGAATGTTAATATTTTTTGTGAGGGGAACTGAATACAAAAGCAGGTAGGTTATGCTTCATTTATATAGGGCATAGGTGAGACCACATCTGGAATGCTGTGGATAGTATTAGTCGTCTTATTTAGCTCCAATTTGCATGAGGGTTCTGTGAGAGGCTGGAGACCATTTCTTGGACATAGCTCCATGAACTTGACAGTGGAGCCCATAATTAAACCTCATGACTGCTTCAATGCCACCTCATACTACTCGCTGCACTGCTATGGGACCCAGTGTTAACAGTGGTTTCCAGAATGCTGCTTCACTCGTCCTCTGTGCAGGGATGTTTTCAAGCAAGAACACTGAGACATAAATCAGGTCCACAGGACAGGCTCCTAAAGTTCTCTCTCATGATGATCAGTCCCTGTAACTCAGTGATGTTTGTCAGTGCCACACAGCCTTGTTCATTGTGAAATGTTGCAGTTTTTAAACTGGATCCTCAAAGTCCAGAGACGTTTAAGGGTCTGCAAAGTCACAATGAGCCTAGGTGAAGAATACTGGAGCTTGGGTCAGTTGGGCTCCAGGTAAGGTTTCTTACCATCTTCTGTACTCAATCAAGTCAATCATGCTGTTAAACACATAAGAGCACATATCCTACATTACTACATGATGACAATAGTGACCAGACCCATAGAACTGAACCTTAAGAGCCTGAAGTGAAGCCCAGTGATCCAAACCAGTGCTAGGGAAAATACCCAAAGTGAAACTCAGAAGCCAGCTAGAGATGGACAGTGAAGAAAGCCCTGGCAATAAATTATGGAGAGAAAGAAACTGATGAAAGAGCAGGAGAAGGCCCGAAGCAGAGTACACAGTTCGAAACAGGAAGAAATCAAACAGCCACATGGCTAACAAGTTTCGGTAAATCAGAAGCCCATAGAAAAGAATAAACATACAAGAGAGAACTTCCTGTGCAACACTAGGATAAAAAGTAAAAAATGGATTTTTTATTCATTCATGAGATGTGGGCATCACCATCCAGGCCAGCATTTATTGCCCACCCCTAATTGCATAGAGGACAGTAAAATGTTGACCACATTGCTGTGTCTGGAATCACACATAGGCCAGACCAGGTAAGGATGGCCATTTCCTTCCCTAAAGGACATGTTTGAACCAGATTGGTTTTTTACCCATGACAATCAACAATAGATTCATGGTCATCGTTAGACTCTTAATACCAGGCTTTTTTTTTATTGAATGCAAATTCTACTATCTGCCAAGGCAGGATTCAAACCCAGGTCACCAGAACATTGCATGAGTTACTGGATTAATAGTCTAGCAATAATAGCATTAGGCCATCACCCCTTATTTCAATTTCCGTAGTCTGTATTGCAAATACCAAATTAGACAAAGCATTATCTTTATCAGACTTGCTAGAAAATTGTGATGACCTTGACCAGACTGGGCATTGAGCAAGCTGGTGCTGATGGTTCTGCAGGTATCTTATTGTGGTAGCTCTCAACAATTGGCGAGACAAGGACAAGACCAGGAAATTGCTTATACAATCAGCAGCTGTGCAAATGTCACTCTTGCCAGACAAGGTGGTATGGAAGGAATGGCAACATGTGACAATGTAATTAAAACATTTGACGCTCATTTCCATTTAAGAAGAACTCCCATCATAGACATGGTAAAGTGTATCCAGGGTGCACAAATGTTAGGAGAGACTATGAATTCCTCCATCAACAACAAGTGTAAACGTTCAATTCTAGTCTCCCTGCTACAGGAAGGACGTTGTGAGACTTGAAAGGGTTCAGACACAAGTTTGGAGGCTTTGAGCTACACGGAGAGGTTGGATAGACTGGGGCTGTTTTTCCTGGAGCGTCAGAGGCTGAGAGGTGACCTTATAGAGGTTTATAAAATCATGAGGGGCATGGATAGGGTGAATAGCCAAGGTCTTTTCCCCAGGGTAAAGGAGTCCAAAACTAGAGGACATGGGTTTAAAGTGAGGAGGTAAAGATTTAAAGGAACCCTAAGGGGCAACATTTTCATGCAGAGTGTGGTGCCTGTATGGAGTGAGCTGCCAGAGGAAGTGGTGGAGGCTGGTACAGTTACAACATTTAAAAGGCATCTGGATGGGTACATGAATAGGAAGGGTTTAGAGGGATATGGGTCAAATACTGGCAAATGGGACTAGATTTATTTAGGATATCTGGTCAGCATGGACGGGTTGGACTGAAGAATCTGTTTCCATGCTGTACCAGCTCTATGACTCTACAATTCTAAACCCTCTGCAACATTGCCCACTTTCACAATAACCATCCACTGTCAGACTGCCCATAGTGGTTAACCTGCAAAGTCAGGAGAAAGTGTGCAGGTGCACTGTTTCATCTCTGGTCTAACATACAATCTGAAATTGTATACAATCCTGAAAAAAAACGGTGTTAGTGAGAGTCTTACTGCACCTATTGGAGTGGAATAATTGATGATCACTGTATCATGTGTGAGCTATAGTGAAGTATGAGGAGAAACAGATCTAGCTGACTATGATCTAGTGATTGGAGAAAGGTCAAGGACAGAAGGAGTGTTGTGAGGCATGTATAAATGAAGCTGTAGTGTTGTAAATAGCACAGCTTTGTGAAGTCACTGAGCTTTTTCCAACATTACGACCGTATCCTGTATCATAAATTCAAGGCATTTTGATCCTTTTTTCTTGAGTCAATGTTTGGTGAATTTCTTTCCCATGGGAAATGAGGATAACCTTTATCCTGTCCTCAACATCCACCAGAGCCACATACACAGCCACGGTAATGTTCTCACAGCACATGCTACAGATGGCTGGATGGTCTCTTCATCCTGCAAGATGAGTATAGCTCTCTGTATCACTTACCAATTGATGGAACTTTTCACTATTTCCAAATGCCTTGTAGCACTGAAAGCCTGGATTTCCATGGGACCTTCTCAGATCACTCACCATAACTTTGGTGAATGTATGCCAAAAGGTACATTCTTAAGAGTATTAGCAAAAATCTTTAACCCACAATCCACTTCAAAATTATAACATCCTATAACACTGATGGAAATCCTTCAGCCCATGATGTTGAGATGAATCTTTGAAAGAGTAATCCAAGTAGCTCTGTCATCCCCTTTCCTCACAATACCATAATTTTCTTTTCTAAATATTTAACCAATTACCTTTTCAAAGTTACTATTATGTCCGAGACAATTTTTGCACCATGAGATAAAATGCTGTCTCCGACAACAATCAGTATGTTCAAAAGAAGAATAAAGCCAAGTGAATTGGTTTTAAATTTTAAAACATAAGAAGGTGTATTTAAAAATTTAATGGGAGGAAATAAATAAATATTAGAACAAAATGAAAATAAGATCAGGAAGAAAAAAGCTGACAGCAAATTCATGTGAAGGGTTTGATTTTTTAATATAAAGTTTTTTTATTTGTAATTAATATTGCAATTATAAAATGCAGCTTTGTTTAGATAGCTCATTACAATTCTATTAAATTATTTGAAACACAAATTACATGCTTAGTGGCACCTGTAAACTTGGAGAATGTGGAGCAAAGGATGTGTCAGTGTAGAAAATAATGTGAGAGAGTTACTTTTTATTCTTTTCTGTTGGCTGGTATTTATTGCCTGTCTCTAGTTCCCCTTGAGAATCCAGATTGGAAAGCATTGATACAGCATATACAAACATATAAACAAGGAGCTGGAGTAAGCCATTCTTCTCCTGGCTTTATTCCACCATTGAATAAGATCATGACTGATCTGATTGTGATCACATCAATAGTCCCACCTACCTTTCATTCCTTTACTTACTAAAAATAGACCTAACTCTGCCGTTAAAGAAAAGTCAAAGATTCTGCTACCAGAGATAGTAGGAACTGCAGATGCTGGAGAATCCAAGACAACAAGGTGCAGGGCTGGATGAACACAGCAGGCCAAGCAGCATCATAGGAGCAGAGAGGCTGACGTTTCGGGCCTAGACCCTTCATCAGAAAAGCTTGATT